AAACCCTAAACCCCAAACCCATCCCGAGGCGGACCCCAATGTCTGGGATGTCCTGGAAGCCAACCTGGCGGAGCACCGTTGCCGAAGCGAGGCAGGAGCCGTACTCTATAGAGGACTCTACCCATGGGCCCCCATAGCAGGGTTTAGGGTTTAGGCCTCAGAGTAGTTCCTTCTTATGTGGCTTAGATTCAGGATCCGATTAGGGAATCATGGGTAGTTCCTTCTTGTGGCTTTGATTTAGGAGCCTTTTTTGGGGAATCCCAAAAAAGGAACTACTATGGGGCTCATGGGTAGGCACTTCTTCCCCTTTAGGGGGGGGCCCTCTAAACTTTTGTTTGCCACGGGAGGCCCCGCCCCGGCCCGGAAGGATAAAGCGGGAGGGGGGCGGCCCAAAAAGCGGGAGGGAAGGCGGGCCCACAAAGATTCAACAAGTGTTTCATTGTTACTGGGTGTGTCTATCTCTACTGTCACGTTGGGGGGGATCTTGCTTCTTGCTCCTGCTCCTGCTCTTACGCTTGCTCCTGCTCCTGCTCCTGCTCTTGCTCTTCTTTTCGCTCTTGCTCCAGAACCCTCCCCCAAATGCAAATAAGGTTTTTCAAAGGCGGGGATGACGTCAGGGGGGTTTTCCGAACAGAGTTTCTTTAGTGTCCATCGGAGAAGGGATTGAGTATTGTTTCTTTGGAGTTGAGGCCCCTTGCCCGCCTGTACTGCGAGGTGGTGCGCGGTGTGGTTGGGCCTCGCAGCCTCAAAGTCATCACACCCGACTACGCAAAAGGTGACATCCACGGCTACGGGAACATGGCCGTGGACATCGATGACCCAAGGTCGGGAGTCATCTCGCCGGCCCATACGATTGAGTCGCTTGGCACAGGCTTTGACACTCTGGCGATCGACTGCCAAGGTTGCTTTGCCACCTTCCTGGAAGATAACCCTATACTGCGGCAGACGCTCTCCACGATCATCGTAGAGGTTCACCAGTGGTCGTCGGAGCCGAGTACTGTGCAAAAGCTGCTTCAAGAAGGTTGGGAGTTGAAGCAACGAGTGTTGCGTCAGCACGTGCTGTGCAAAGGGCCGTGTGTCAGTCAGTGTGATCCGCACTGGTCTGATCAGCACGCCCGCCAGTACTACGGAAAGGACCTTTGGTTATATGGACCACCCAAACTAGCACCCCCTGGTTCCACATAGAAACGTCTCTTTCATTCTTCGCCGGCCGCCGGCCGCGGCAGTCGCGACGTGGCAGATAGCCTTTCCCTTCGCATGGGAGTAATGCCCATGATCCGATCCGCCTGGAGATCCCTTCCTGCCGCCACTCTCCCAAAGGGCTGACGGTACTGGGCAGTCATGGCGAGTTCGGCACCTGCAGAGCAGACACAAAAGGGCTCATATAGCCTTTCTAGCCCAGTGAATGTAAGCTACACTGGCTACACTGCATATTCCAATGTACATTTCGCCAGCTTAGTCGCACTTCCTATCTGAGCCACGACCTGTCCTGCCCAAAAGCAGAGCTAAATCGTCACAGCCGTGAACATTCGACACCATTTTGGGACGTGTTTGCCCCAGCCTGAATCTCCCTCATGTCCACAGTGAAGCGGATCCTGTGACTAGCGCAGTGCAGTCTTGTCGGCCAGGTCGCAGAGATTTGCTTTCCGCGTGGGCCCAGGGTCTCGGACCCGGAAGTGATGCTTTCAGGCTTCTAGAACTGCGGGAGTGCATGTATTCTGCACCAAGGCCGAGATTCATGACCGCCGCCGTCGCAGCTCGCCTCAGCCGAAGGCTCACTTGTTGACACATGCCATAGGATGGCTCTAGCCGGGCTGTGACTGTGAATGCAACATTCGTTCAGATGGAGGACTGGACTGCTTGCCAGACTGCAGTGCAGTTTGCCAGGTCCTTACCTGTATGATCGCCAGCAGTCATGATGCTTGCTGTCTCAACTCTGCATCAGAAGAATTCAATATGCCCGAGCTGCAGGCAGGCCAGTCGGAAGTGTGTTCCATCAGAGGTATTGTAGAAAGGCATTCTATTGGAATCTCGTGTGTGTGTGTGTGTGTGTTCGGGTTTAGGGTGTACGGTGTAAGCTGTGCGGAGACTCGGAGTGAGCACGGAGCTTTGCAACCGGACAAGCTCGATATTTCTGAAGCAGAAACCCGTCTGGGGACTTCACGAGAAGACGGAGCCCAACTGAGTGCAGCCCGATGAACCCTGAGTCCTTCCAATCGGACCTGGAGCCATGCCCTGCAAAGCCCTGTACAAGAAGCTACCTAGAGAGCCATGAGCTGATCGCCCTTTGTTCACCCCCTGCTTGAACAGGCTTCAGTTTTATGATGGTAATCCCCATATGGCCTAACATACCCCTCTAGGGCCCCCCGATAAAAAGCCATACGCATCCCACAACCAAGGCCGCACTCAGTGTGACGTAGAAAGTGCCTCTTCCTCCGAGGTTCTCGGGTCTCCAAGCGCTTTCTTTGTCAGAGGGGCCCCCCCGCCTTAAGGCGAGAGGGAGAGGGGATGTGCACAATGGAATGGGATTCCAAAACAATACATAAGGGCCATTGTTTTTTTTTTTTGGGGGGTTTTTCGGTGAAGTCTTGTGAGGGTGGCAAAGCGGTTGCAGAGTTCTGTTTTGATGGGGTTGCTGTGAAACAAGGCCAGGATGATGAGGTTTTTGTTGGATCCACAGGGGGCTGAGGTTCTTCGGTCACGTCGCCTGCAGCTTCTGTCGCAAGAGCAAGAGTGTAAAGTGAATCGGACTAGCATTGTCAGGGTGACAGCATCGTAGAGCACTGCATAGACACACCAGTGCGGAGAGGAGAGCTTGCTTTGGGTCTTTTCTTCGGCTGCCTTCCTGGCAGTTTCCAGATCGTAGGGCAGGCAGTGCCAGCACTGCAGGAGCCTTCAGGGTGGGGCTAGATCCGCATTCTTCTTCTGCGCCGTTCTTGCAGTCTTCCCGAAGATCGACACCTGGGTGCTGCGGGCGCGCCGTGGTTCAAGCGCTCTCTGCCCATGTTTGCGTTGAGTGGGAGAGAGGGAGAGAGAGAGA